AATCAACTTTGGTAACAATGATTTTTAAAAAATGTTCTTTTGATACTTTTAAATGTTGCAAAAGTTATCTTTGAGCATTACTTTGAATTAGCCTTAAAAATACACAGAGGTCCTCTGCCGTCTAATTGTTGAGTTCTTCACCAGGGAAGCAAGGATGGATTCCATCTTAAAACTTTCCAGGCTGGTTGCCCTAGTAATCATGTTGACAGACAGTCCTTCCAAAGCTTCTCGTAGCATATTCTGTTCTTTCATCAGTTCCTCGGTCTTGATAGCATTGGTCAATTGCTGCTCCATATTGTACACTCCTCTAAACTTGAAAGAACTCTCTACAGGAGGGAATGACATATGTTCCCCAAGGATATCCTCACCTTTCATTCTGGATTTTCTTGCTTCAGCCCTCTTTCTCAGCTCTTGGCCACGTTATTTGAAAGTGGGCTTGAATCCTAGCTTGAAACGGTCTCTCTTCCATTCGATAGCAATGAGTCATACCATTCCATATAGATTCCTACCCAATCCTTTGACAGTCTTTGTCCCTCTTCCCAAATTTTGTCTTACTACCATCTTAGTACAATAAGATAGCATGGGACGTGGAATTTTGCTTCATTCGACAACATATGATGCATTGATGAACTCTAAGGCCCTGAATGAGTATTCCAGGACATCCTCGTTGACGTCGATGTATGGGGCATTGGATGTTATTGAAGTAATGATCTTCTTCTGCCTCCATGCTGACCAATTTCCCATCAATCACGAATTTTAACTTCTGATGTAGATACGAAGGAACTACCCCTGCAGCATGGATCTAGGGTCTTCCCAATAAGCAGTTATAGGTCGGGAGGATTTCCATCACAAAAAAGTCAATGTTGTAGATGTTAGGTCCAATCAACAAGGGTATCTCCATTTTTCCCATCACGTCTTTTTGGGTTCCATTGAATGCCCTGACAACATTATGGTAAGCTCTCTTGTGTGAGTTGTCTACGGGCATCCTCTGTAGTGTAGCCAAAGGTATAACATTTAGTGCGGACCCATTGTCTATTAGAACCCCTATCAAGACATGGTCGTGGCAGTGAGTGATGATATTTAAATCTTTGATGGATACCATCCCACCTTCCAGAATCTCATCATCAGTGAATGTGATGTAATTGTCTGCAGCTATATGTCCCATGATTCGATCTAGTTTATCTGTCGATATATCCTCAAGGACAAATGTTTGGTTTAGCACTTTCAGAAAGGCGTTCCGATGTACCTCTGAATTGATTAACAAATCTAATATTAAGATTTTGGCTTTCTGCTTGTGAAGCTACTCTACTACGCTATATTCACTATGCTTTAGGAACCTCAAGAATTCATGAGCCTGAGCTTTAGTCACTGGCTCATTAATTGTTGGTGGAGGTTCTTCATTAAAGATTTTTGGCACTATGTTACCTTGGCTTTGGCTTTCTCCTTGTCTGCCTCTCTGGACGTCTCGGGTGAGTAACATCTCCCACTCTTCATGAAATGGCCTACCTTACTCACTTCTTCTGTGATTAATTTCTTTTCCTTCTCTATTCTCTCAGAGGATCTCGACCCTTTTGGTATAGACACACTTGCAGCATAACTCCAAGGAACCTGTTGTGTGTCTTTGAATGGGAAAGGAGACAGAGTTGTAATCACGACTTTAGGAGTCGTTGATGATGAGCTCTCATTCCTAGACTTGACTCTAATGACCACATGTTTTCTTATTCCTTGCATCCTGTTAGAGCTATCCGTCATGCAAACATCCATCTTTCTTTTGATCTCCTCTTGATTAAAGAATTCTACTTCACCATTATTTATCATTTCCTGAAGTACCTCTCGGAATTTGTGGCAACATTGAATGCCATGACCCTCTTCTTGGTGATAAACACAATACGCTCTACGCCCAATAAGCTTCGGCTCGGGATTACCCTTTATCATCTATACTTTAGGCACAATAGTTGATCTCTCGCATTCATGCTAGGGGCGAATGCTATTGGTTTTAATAAACGAATACACTTTTCAACTTTGCATCTGTAATGAATTTAAATTAGATAAAGTTCAAACTTAAAATTTACGATTCTAGATATAGGGTAATCAACTAGGTAGCAATTTTTGGGCGTTGTGGGGGTGTTAATCATTCCCTGTGCGTAACTGACTCTCGAACATGTTTTTTGGTTTTTGTAGACCCTAAGCTTGGTTTTTTGATAAAATAAAATGTTTTATTAAAATTACCTAATTTTTATGGTGTCCCAATCGCACCTTAAAATGATTGGTGGTGATTCGTCACATTTCAAAATCTTTTCCAAGAAAACCACTAAGTCGTACTAGTTTCTCCCCACCAGGGCAAAAAACAATGTCGCGAGCTTTTCGAGTCGAGTATCAAGTAGCTCGTTTATGCTCGTTAATAAATTGAGTCAAGGTCGAGCTGGAACCTAGTCCATCCGAGTCTAGTATTTATCAAGCTTTAACCCAATCAATCTCAAATAACTCACGATTTGTCTCATCTCATTTACAGTCTAATACAAGCTATTTTAATTTTGATTTTACCTTGAAGAACGACAAGAACACCTCTAAATAAGGTCAAATAAGAAATCAAAGTAAACAAAACAGAATTCTAATTTTATCACTTTTATCCCACTTTTTACCAGTATTGGCTGATTGTTTGGTCTTCTGACTTAATTTAGTACATAGTTGAACAATCGAAGCAACCGATTCTCGAATCTACCGGTTGGAATTGCACAATCCGGTCTGGTTTTCATAAGGAATTACACTTCCAATAACCGAAGCTTATATGATAATTAGCACAAAACACTGTTAATTTGTAAATTCTTACGACTTCTTGGATCAGCCACTTTTGGTCTTGGTCTCTAATCCACCCTGTAGCAACCCATTTCTCCCCTTTGATCACCGGACAGCTTCCATGAAGAGATGCATGCAAACAATGTTTTGAAGCAGAGAAAACAACATACATCAGAAATACTTAGACAATTAACACGGATCGACTTCAGGAATCTTTTACACTTCAGATTCGAAACGATGTATTAAATTCGATTAAAAACATAATATTTTCAGACCGACCGTGCCGTTCAGAAAGAGAATAGAATAAAAGTTATAAAAGCAAAATTATTCGGATTGTACATCCAACAATACTTACAAGCAAAGAGAACATATCTGTCATGTTAGTCATTCCTTTAAACATTATTGTCAATTTATTTGATTGACACACACTTAGATAGGTAAAGGATCCGATTAATAAAATTTTAAAAACGATCGTCAAAATAAATAAAAACAATAATTAAGTGATCATACGAATAGTTTATCTTAAAGGTTAACTATAATATATATCAAACATTAAGAATTATCAACTAATCTATAGTATACATCACTAATTAAACATTACCAACACTCGCTCTGAATTCTTGGTTTTTTAAATTAATCAAGGGTAATTATACGGTAGTATATGTTTAAATATAACTCTCAACCATTTCACATTTATATCACTAACATTCATAATATTCAAAATCGAAATCTCAAAAAATAACATTACTAAATTTTAATTCTAAATTTTAAATCTAAACCATAAATTTATAACCCTATATCCTAAATAGATCATATAACACTATTAAAACACCTTGTATGAAATAATTTTTTCACTCCTGGGTAATGAATTTTTTTTGCTAATATATATCAATTGCATGTATACAATATTTTTAAAAGCACAAACTGAACGAACTAAGTAATAAAGAAATTGTTGTTATTCTTTAAGTTTTTGGATTCAAACATCAGACAATGTCAAATAATTGAGAGTTATCTTTGAACAAATGTCACCTTATACAGTTCTACTCACACCAATCTCTAGAATTATCAAGCATATTGCTTTACACACGATAAAAATAATTTATGTTAGAAAGATACAAATAATTAAAAAAAAATATGGAAGAAATAAATCTTAAAAATAAAATAAAAATCGTACCCACTAGAAAAGAATAGAAATTGCGTTGTTGATGAAAGTTGTTTGTTCGAATGAGAAAATTTTAATAAGGATGATTCTGCATTTGAATTTTTTTCAATTAATATCTAGAAATGGATAAATAGGACTGCTGGAATAAGTTGACTCTTATTCCAGTCTATTAACTAAAATATTTTTTATAAAATAAGTCAACTTATTTTTTTTTCCTTTTTGACATTTGTTTCACAAGTGCAATGCATTGTGTTTGTATGTCGGGGAGGGGCAATTCCATTTATTATATATTTTAATAAAAATAAAAAGCTCAAATAATAAATTAGATGGGCAGGAGTTTTTTTTTTCAATTATTAAAAAATCGTATTTATATAATTTTTTTAATCTATTGATAATATACACATATTCTATAAATATAACTATTTAAATTTAAATTCATTAGAAGAATAATACTATTTCCACTTAATTTTCATTAATGCCATTGTTATTTAGTCAGTTTATGTGAATTTTTAATAAAAATATATCAACCAATAACTAACCCATAAATGTATAAGAAGTAAGTTATTGCGCTGAATATATTCTTAATATCTATCTCCGATTTTATTCCTTCTTACAAGTATAACTCATGTTCACACAAATTCAGAAACCATAAATTTAAACGTAATCAAACACATCTTTTAATTTAATTAATTTTAGATGTAGAGTTTATGAGTAATTTAAAAAATATAAAAAATAGTTAATATATATTCTAGTATTATTTAACTTAATCTCTAGAATAAAACACTGAATTGATCAGTACTAACTCTTTCTATGAGCATATGATTTTAACACCGCAGATGGTTGAATTGATCCCCCCACCATGGGAAAACACCGATGGTCGATATTCTTTGCTTTTCCTTTTTTTGTTTATAGGTAAAGTATAATGTTCTTGTTTCTTAAAAATGGAACTTATTCTTCGCAGGGATGCAATTTTAAGTACAATAACCGCACTTCCAAAGCATTATATAAACCTAGCTCCTAACGTTATTCCTTAATCCCATAGTCCATAGACACTTACTTTTTTGTCCTTTTTAGGGTTTTATAAGAACTATATTGCATGGGAAGAGCTGCTTTTACCAAAACTAAGATTTTAATCCTAAGGTACTCAACGTTATCATTATTGTTGTTCTTCATGTTTTCTTTATCATGATTGAACCTGTAATCTTTGGTGCTGTTCTTCCTATTAATATTGTCGGATCTCGAATCAGACAAATTGAATAATTTAAGACGTTTCGTCGGACTTGTGCAGGGATGCTAAGCGAAGTGAGCGACATTTGAGCAAAATTGCAGGGGCAGACCGGGAGATCATTAACAAGTGCAATAGTAAAGACGGTATAAAAGGTTCATCGAGCTGGGTTCCACATCCAAAGAGTGGGATATACTATCCTAAAGGCCATGAATGGGTGATGGACGATGTTCCCGACTGGGCAGCTTCTTTTGGCCGGAGTTTTTGGGTCAGAAGCACGGACGGTGTCGATAAACCAGAGACTGGTGAATTACAATTTGGTCCATTTCACGACGATCACTATTTCCATTAAAATATGTGATGATCAAATTAGTCATAAAAAAGAGTGAGTTAGTAGGAGTTTATGAATAAAGCATTTTGGCCTCAGCAGCTGAGTTGGTAAGAGTGAGTTAGTAGGTGTTTAATCTTATTGTGTAATGTATTTAAATTTGAATTATATTTTAGATATTTAAAGTTGTATTAACATGCTAATAATAAAATATATATTTATTATCGTGATTATCAAGGACGGGCACAAGATTTTATGTCAATGGTGAACTTGAACTTATAAAATTTTAGAAGTCGAAAACAAATTTTCAATAAAAATACATAGAAAAATCTAAAATATGATAGTTTTAATTTTTCAAGGGGTAGCCTGGAAATTCAAATCTATTTAAAATTCTCAAATTTCAGTCTTGTATAACTTAAACATAAATTATTCAAATTTAAAATTAATGTAAATAAAAATATTGTAACACCCTAATCTGGTCTGACCCGAAGATCGTACGGATAAAGCGTTACATGGGCCACCGAAGTGGCTAACCCAAAATTTTCCATTCAAAACATTTGTAAAGCATTCATAATCGTTTACCATAACATGAATTAAGGATCATAAATAAAAGTTTACAAAATATGAGGGTTTCCCAATATGTATAAAATAAACCACCAAGTTTTAAATCAAAACAGAGTTGTGACTCTAAATATATACAAGGTCCACGTAAATACATGCCCTCTAAACAAACTCAATACATACTCTGAAGTGGTTGATTTGGAATGTATCGGTACAATAGGCTCCTCGTCGATCCTCTACGGATATTTGCACGAAATCTCATTCCATACGCTGAGCTCACAAGTTCAGTGCCACGATAATAACTATGCAATACTACATGCATTCATTGCATGAACATGCCGGTGCATAGAGTTATGAATATACATAAGTACATAAAAAACATGAGATAGGTCCAGCGATGTGGTCGGAGGAATTTTATGTGCATCTCAGACAACACTATAGCCTATCTTGAGACGGAATAATCTCAGGTAAGAGACGAAATTTGACGTGCATTGGAACTTATCTTGTCTATTCCGCCTACTCGAGAGTTTCGGGGTGAGGATCAAAATTTTACATGCATCAAAAGCTCACATCCCGAACCCCTATAGGCTCTTGAGTATTGGGTATGATTCATAATTTTACTTGCATCGAATGCGTACTTGTGTAAAACTTGTTTCGATATAACAAATTAAGGCAAAATGTTTGTGGACTTGAATTGAATTTATTCAAAGTTTTAAAAGATTTCAAAAATAATTCAAAGTCCATTTGAATTGGAATTGAGCACAAAATACAAAGAAGTACTGATATTGTTCTTTGCAGTATTGATACCACATGAACGGTACCGGTATTGTTCTTCTGGTATCAACATCATAGGCAAAGGTAGTACTAATACCATCAAGGTAGTATCGATACTACCATGAAGGCTCCAATTCCAGAATGCAAAAATGGTACTGATACCATGCAAGGGTATCGATACCATAGTACAAAGTAATATCAAACTCCTGAGACAGTATCGATACTACAAGGCTCCAACGACTAGCAACAGCTAGTTAATTTGAATTTAACAAAGGTAGTATCGATACCCCATAGTGGAGTACCGGTACTTCTAGTTCTGGACAACCTTATTTTGCAGAAAATAAGTCCCCAGCGGTTCCAAAACATCCCCAACGGCTAGATACGACTTCAAACTCATTTCAAGCTATAAAAACAAGTTGAGGACACTTGAATAAGTAAGAGAACAACTATCCAAGCAATCAAACACAAGAGAAGATTTTTTTCATTCTTATTTCATCTTTCTCTTGTAAATATTTTTGTCTTGTAAGCTTAATTCTTGTAAACACCTACCTTAGAGAGGTTTTCTTGTTTACATTTCCTTTCATTGTAAAAGGGTTTTGGTTCTAGCTAAGACTATTAAAAGCTAGGGAAAGGTTCTAGTTTAACCCGTGAAAAACTAGAGAGTTTGTAAAGGTTATCTCTTTGTCTTGTAAAAAGAAACAACAAATTAGTGAATTTGTTGGAAAATCCTTGGTGAGGAGCTAAGGTAGTGGATGTAGACTTGGTTGAGAAGTCGAACCACTATAAATCACTGTGCAATTTTCTATCTTTCAATCTCCTTACTCCCTAAACACAAAAACCGACCCGACCCCTCTTGGCAAATCGATTTGGTTGTCGATTCGAGCTTCCGCAAAATCCAACAACTTGGTTAAACAATATCTGCACATTTCACATAAAAGACGATCATCATAATGCTAGAGTAACTCGGGTGTCCTAACTGTTTCCCGAACGTCACACAAAGACCACTTTTATGTCATCCTAACTTGCTTGATTTCTAGGGTGATATTAGTTACTTTAGTTGTTCCCACTTATTTTATGGTACATAAAGTTTATACGATCTCAAAACCCCCAAACCCGAACACTTAAATCAATTATAAAATTTCCCAATTCATGACAATGGTAGCGATATTGTGCTAACAGTATCGATACTGACCCTCAGGTATCGATACTCGAGGTAAGTATCGATACCATAAATAGCTTTGATGTTTTGAAAATAACTCGGTATCGATACCCCTATGGGGAGTATCGATACTGTACCCTTGGTATTGATACTCCCATGAGTATCAATAACAAAATTGGCTACTGGAATCCTAAACTTGCCACCGGTATCGATATCACCCCTTGAGTATCGAGACTAGACCATGAGTATCGATACCCTTTGAGGAAGCATTGATACTACCCTCACAAATTTCCCTTGCTTTTACACTACACGAAGAACAATATCGGTACTGTTCTTCCAGTATCGATACTCATGACCTGAAGTGCCCTATTTTGGGAACGAATTATATCCCAAAGTCACCTATTCATTTCCCTAAGGCCAACAAATGTTATCCGAGTCTTATTTAAGGTCTTAGAGGTCCAATGATAATCCCGGGAGAAGATGTTTTGGCTATAAAAACTATGGGAGTTTTGTTATACATGGTTGTTGATTTTTCTGCTGGTTTGATCCTTCAATGACTTAATGAGCACGCGTTGTTCTTGTGGGATTGTTGAAGAAAATCAAAGCAATTAAAATTAGAAAGATGAATGAGAGAATTGTTTGGATTGTTATTTTTATTTTAGGGTTTACATTGGGTTGGTACCTAAATCATTGATGTTAAAACAATGGTGATAAAATTTTAGGTTGGAATTTGTGATGATGATACTTTTGGTTTGTAATGGGATGAAAAATTAAGGGTGACAATTTTAGGATTAACGAGTTGGTTCTTGTTAAAAATGATGGTGCTTGTTAGATGATTTTGTAAAATTAATTGTTGAACTTTGCTTGTTAAAAAAACTCGGTGCTTTGATGTTTATAATTTTTTTTACCTTTAAAATGTCAAACTATGCTTGTTAAAATTACTTGTGTGATAAACATAAGGATAAACAAAATGAATGATAAAAAAATGTCAAATGTCAACCATGGTAGTTATAGATGTAATTGAAATAAAAATTCAATTAAAAGATGACATTCAATAACCGAAGACAACATGAATGATAAACAAAATAAATGTCATTCAATTAGAGTTATGGTTGATAATAAACACATGTGAACAAAAACATAAAGTGCATATAAGCATTTAAGTTGAAACAGTATCAACCTATAAAACCCACCAAAATATGAAACAAAATATTAATGTGAATAAACAAATGTGTTCAAAATACCTAGTTCACCAACTTAAGTATTTAACCCAAAATATCAACCCAAGTATCTAAGTTATGAAATCATCCAAATAAAGTAGAAGAATAGCAACCTATAAAATCCTTGGTCATTTTACAAAAATAGTTCCACAGTCTACTTGGGAAGTCTGGCTTGACTGGCTTAAATGTTGGTTGGCAGTCACATATTCTTATGAGGCTGGCATCCATCTAACTGTCATTACAGTTTCTGTTTGCTGGTTGGTTGGATAAAATGTGTGGCCTAGAGTAGGAATAAAGACAAATGGACTAGCAACTTGTGATGATAATGATGCTTGTGATGTTACAACTTGTGATGTAGGTTCTTGTGATGTTGCAACTTGTGATGATGGTGCTTATGATGTTGCATCCTTTGATGATGGTGTGATCCTTGTCGTAGTTCTTCTCCTAACATGTATTCATAAGTGTACCAAAATCTCAAAACATAATTCTGATATAAGTTTAAAAAAGAATAAGAAATATATACTTGTAGTTTTGTCTTGATGTGCCTTAATTCAACCCTTCTTTGGTTGGTTTCCCTTGTTGAGTTCAAATTAGGTTTCCTAGGTGGCATATTACCTCCAACTATCCATTTGCAGGTCCTTTGGTTATGTCCTGGTTGAACACACTTAGAGCAGTACATCATAAGAACTTTCTTGCTCATTGTTGCATGAGACTTTTATGGCTCATTTGCTTCTTTTCTTCTATTTTTCTTAGGTCTTTCTGGTGGCCTTCTAATTATTGGTGGTATAACTAGTTCACTAGTGGTGTCAGTTAGCCACTGATTATGGTCTCTCATGGGTTGAATAAAGTGACTATAAATTTCTCGTTGAGTGATTACAAAATAAGAATTGTAAACATAAGCTTCAAGCCTTGATTATTTAACACCATTACAGAAACAACATGTATGCATGCGACTCCTATCAATGAAAGAAATCAAAGTAGTTAAATTAATAAAGTAATTGAGAACAAAATTATAACATATGACCCTCGGGTATCGATACAGACCCCTCTTCCTTACTCACATCGTTTTCATTATATTCAAACCCACTATTAGAAAAATCAGTGTCATCAGCAACATAATATGTATCTTCTTCAGAGTTTAACTCAGTCTTGAATGTTTCATAAGTTTCATGAGTTTCAGTTATAACAATTTCACGAGTTTCAGTTGCATTCTGATATATGGTTTTAGTGATTTCTTTCGAAAAGTTTGCTTCATTTTCCTTCAAGTACAAATGAATGTGCCTATTCCCGGGCATATCTTCTAACATGCTAATGATATCATAGTCTGTTCTTAATGGAATAACAATAAATTTAGGCCTAGATTGTTTCCAAAACAAATCCCACAAACTAGAATAACCTAACTCTTCCACAATATCATACATTTCA